GACAACGACGAGGCTTCTCTAATTTGTTAATACCATGTCCAACTTTGTCTTTACGAACACTTTTCTGAGCGGCGTTTTCGGATTTTCGAACAACTGTTGACTGTTTAGTCAACGACTCCGAAGACGACATCGACGGTATTGCCATTCGAAGCAAACATTCTGCAACGTAAATACGGAAATGTAATTGATCCATTGGTTCTATTTTTTGTGCAATACATCTCTCGGTGGTGCGTGACTATTCCTTTTAATATTTGACGATAGCACAATGAATTTTCCAAGCGTTCACTTTGCAGCATCAAATTCAGTTGTTATCAGTGTCGTGGTATTGGACGCAAATAATTGTTAATGACATTATCGAAGAGATCAACACCACCCATTCGATTATTGTATGCTCTTACGATGTGTGGCATATCAACATAATATTACTTGCCGCTTAGACATCGCTTCACACGATGCAGTGGTTCAATTGCCTCATGATTCGATGCAATGGTTACAACAGAATTGTCGTTCCATCGGGCTATCAGCACATTATTGTTCGGATCAAATGTGTAATCTAACTAAAGGCGTTCTTTCTTCTTAGATGATTAGATGTCAGTAAGTTTCGCTTTATTCGTACGATTATCACGAATAGTGCCGGTAGCACAATATCCCAAAGAGGGGAGGGGACTCATCAATTTATGAAAAGTGAAGAAGTTGTCAAACGCAACACAATGCTCACGTGAATCGTCAAGTTGGTTCAAAAACTTCAGACGACCATTTGACCTAAGCCGCAGTTTTTGTATTTGGGTTCTCGATTCTCATTTGCCCCGCTGTATGGAATGAAGGAATACAAATAGCCATCAGACGAACATAAATCCCAGTATTTGAAGCCAAATCGAATGAATTTTTGCGAAAATGTTTATCAAATGAGAATATGCCAAACTGCATGAATTTCTTATTCAAACGAATGTAAATTGATGACATGAATGATGATTTGGAACATTGGAGCTCACAAGACACAGAAATAGTGAAGTGGAAATATTTGTCATATCGTTTTCGGCTGGTGGTCGATTTAACATCCAGTCCACTTTGCACATTAATTATCATTCTATACTACAACCGATCTGCTGAAACAACTACCAAATATATATTAAAGCTTATTTTTTTCAAAAATTTTCTCTATACTTTCCGAATTTTTTTGAAAAGTGTGGAAAAATGGGTCTTCTGAAGATCCGATACAATTAAAAGAGATTAATTAATAAGTAAAAGAAAATTTTTGTAAAAATCAGAAAGATGCAAGGTGACACACAATTAATGCCTTCAGGACATGGCGTTTTGCGTGCGTGGTAATGGTTCCCTTAATAATTATTAGGATTAGGAATCGTCGAGAACAATATTTTAATGGTCTTCCCGAGATGTTTAAGTAAAGAACGAGGTCTTCTATTTAGCATAGTAAATATTTTCACTCTATAAAAGATATTCAGAATTATTGGTTCGCCACACCAATAATAGTACTCAATGCGTGTTTACAGTTAGAATGGCTGTGAAAGTTCTAAGCAGGCACCTTGGAAAAGGTACGATACATACCCGGGCAAAACCAAATACGGAGTTTTCCGGATGGGTCAAATTGGTGGAGGATTTAGTTGGTGGGAATTGCCAAGTGACTATAACTTCAGAGTCATTTATTAATGCAAGGACACAATCATTTCGCCATAAAGTTAGAAATATAAGCATAGTGATAATTCCTTGCTTAATTATTTAATTATACAGCGGTGTTGTGGAATCCAAGACAAAATTGCTTAGCTTGTCAAAATTGCAAACCAATTCTGATTTTCAATAGTGTCACAGAATCTGATTGGATTTTCGTCTTTTCGAACATACGCAAAACCAATATTCGAACCAGCTGTTTACTAATGTGACAAAACTTGCAAATGAATACATTTGGGAGCAATCCTATTAAAGTTTTTAATAAGTTCCGAATTAAAGGAAAATTTTAAGAGATAACATTTATCGAACGAATAAAGACGCATTCGGGTGTTACATAAATTACGTTTATTACGTTTTGTTAATCTAATATCTTTAAATATCCAGTTTTTTCCTAAAACTTAATAATTAAGACATTTCTTGTTTTATACTTATGTTTTCGCCTATAGAAATAAAGATAAATCAATTCGAAATAATAAAATAACTTGATTTCTTAATTTATATTTAAAATCTGTGGGCAACTATCTTGTTGCTTTGTTTCTGATAGCAAAACCGCTAAAATTGGTTTCCGTCGACCCAAAACCGATACAAATTCTGTTTCGAATATCAAACCAATAATATCTGAATTCATGACACTAATTTTTTTTGATCGGTTTCAGAGTGCTGAACACATAGAACTGGACGGATAGTTGCTACACAGTTATTGAAACTGCTGCACAACTACATAACTGTGTCCATAAGAACGTGTTTATTTGAATATTTGACAGATGTCGCTTGAAGTGTGTCACTCTCTATGTAATCAGAGTGTAACGAACATTACTTGTCTGACGCATGTTGCTAGCCACGACAGTGAAAAGCAAAATGTTTGATGAAGTATGGGAATACGATTTCTTCTTTGCTTCTTTGCTTGTTTAAAAATTTGTACATAGCTATGAGAAAACTGTATAACAATTTGGGAGAGGGAAGAGACAAACTCCCCCACACAAACTCTAAATTATGGTTGTCATGCGTTTGTCGACCAATAGTTTAAAAACTGGATAAAGCAAGACAAATGGTGAAGTTGGAGAGAGAGTTGTCCGCTCATGGGAGATAGTGCGTAATAAAAAAGGTCTTCGCGTCCGTCCAAGGGAGCATCCGCTTAAGGGAGCATGATTCCTTCATGAAACAAGGCGAAAATTTTGGGACCAAGAAATTTGTCCACTAAAGAGACCTGTCCGGCGATAAGAGCTGTCGAGGAGAGTTTTCACTATATATGTACATATATGCATGATATTCATAGTCATATCTACATCATGAGGCATTAATCTACCTCCAGTATATATAAAAGAATATCACGTTAATTAATTTTAATTTTACAAAGCCGGAGAGAATGCTTAGCTAAGCTAAAGTCTAAACAAATTGAGTATTGAGAAATAGAGTTCTCTACCAGAACGCATTTTAAGGTTACCTTTTTTATTCATTGTGGTATGCAGTAACAAATATAATTTTATCACCGTATATGGTTAATAGTTTTAATATATTTAATAATACTTGGCTGCCAAACAATACTATATGTGTATGAAGTTTTATGACTCTGATAGGTGCTTAGAGATTCTGAAGATTTTGACAGGTAATTTTAACCCCAATCCATATAAATAACCCCAATCCATAAAAAATCCATTATAAATAAGGAATATATGGAAAAAATATGTTGAAAAAAATTCACGCTAATTTGTTTTATTATTGCAAAGTTATATATTATACTTTTGGAACAAATAATTTTCTTCCAGCTACTTTTTTATTGATGTTCTCGAAATGAATAATTAATTCGTTTGTATTAACGTAACAACAATGAATTCGTTAAACTTCCGTCTTTTGTTATTTAAACTGCGAATTTCTCAAACACTTTAAAATAAAAATCAACATTCCAGCAAACGAATTAACACTTGCATCGCATACTATGACGAATTTGGCACTAACTGCTAAAGAATTTAACATCTGTGATGAGTGCACGTCTTGAATATATTCGAGTCACGCTGAATAGTTCCTTTGACAGTCTAAGAATTTGAAACTCTTGGTAAGACCAGCAAGATTTTATAAACATGCCATTTAAGTGTGACAATACCTCCTTTTGACGATTATTAGCAGTGGAAGAAAACTACTTACATACTTACAGTTTCAAGTGACATCAATATATGAAAGAATTATAAAATCTGACTGCTAAATTAATAAAAAGTTCCGTTGTAACAACGTAGCGTATCCATTGTCACTCTTATATTAGTACACCACTAAAACTTCTTTAAAATATTTCCACTGAATATAAATTTTGAATAAGAACGTACAGACATTGGCAAGTGTTTTCTTACATACAACAAAGTTTGAAATTCTTAACAAAAAATTATTATAAAATAATAAGAACTGAAGCAAAGTTCAGAACGATTTGGGAATGCTACAAGAAACAGTAATCGAGGCAACTAGAAACTTCTCTTTGCTTGAGTTACTTAAGGGAAGGCGTTCCACTGAAATTTTGCATAAAAACACACTTGTTGTTGCTTAAGTATTTGCAACCCCGCACAAATTATGCACAAAGCGTTGCAAGCAAAACCAGACGACACACTGCTAATGTCTCTCCACGGGCAACCGTCTTGCAAATAAATTTTGAGATATTCAGAAATTTGTGTAATAAAAACAAAGCTTAACATGACACGCTCAGTTTGATATTTGAATTAATTGAAAGATGAATAAAGGCTGCAGTGGCCGGACATTCTGTATGTTTCTGTGGCGCCAGCTCATAGGGAAGCAAAATGCGTGACCAGAGCACCAAAGTTGAAGATGCTTGCCACTGAAGAAAACGGAAATACAATTAATAAAGCAGTTACTGCAAAATTAAGCAAAAAAAAAAAATAAAATAAATAACTATACAAAAACGTTATAAAATAATGGAGRAATAATATGTAAGAATATGCAGGCTTAGAAGGAGGATACGAATGCACGTATAAACAAGCTTTCAACTAAAAAAGCAGAAACAACATTATTAAGTGTAAATCAATTTTATAATGGAAAGAAAATTATTAAGTACCCTTCAGAAGCGCTGTAGACGTTAAATGGCGAGAAATTGAAACAGGAGGGCATTAATTGGAATTTGCTGCAAATTTTAATTGCGCGTTCACCCTGTCGTATTCCATTAAACACTCAACTCGCTAGACACGCTTACTTAATATATTTGCAGTATACTTTTAGGCGGACATTTTCATAAAGGACTCAAGATTATGTTTGTATAGATGTACTTCAGCTCTGGACAACATTCGCTGGCATAAAATAAAATGAATCGCACTCACCTCCATGTTAAATCCGTCTTATCCCACTTGGGTCCCTGCAGTACGTAGCGCTTCATACGATGATGTCCATATTGTAGATTATCTGGCGAAAAATTGGCTGTTCGAGTGCTGTCGCCCACACCGCATCGAGGCCGGTGTATCAGTTTTTGTGTGGCTTCATCTATCTCACCGGTGGCCGGAATGTTGCCAAAGCGCTATAATATTACAATCAATATTTAAATACATATTGAGAACAATACTTATTTTATGTGCGGTAGTTGTGGCTAAGCAGAGCTGCATGCATACCTGTAGTTTCCGTATGGCATCCTTTAGCTGCTCTTCGGTCCTCAGCGCTCCCGTCTCGATGTCCGACTTAGGTAGATAATCAAACTCCATTAGGTAATTGTACTGCAAATGAAGAAGATAAGAGAAATGAATGCAAATGCATTAGTCCTTTGTTTAGTGTGCCAAGTATAGGTGATGCACAAATATTTATATTATTTGTACGAAATTAATGCCTAATATTATGCTAAGTAGAGCAACGAAAATATGACACAGCGGCGCCGATTACTTCGGTAGTGTTAACAAATTCATTCTTATCTACCCTTTTAGTTTAAAACATAATTATTTTAAATATTTAAGACTACGTCGTTATGAACTAGTGTTGAATTTTTTTATAATTCTAGTATACTTTGTTTTGAATTGTCACATCTTCTAAAATTTAAAAAACATAATGATACGAATAGTTCGAAATTGGTTGAGAATGCTTTTTATGTTCGATTATATGATCTGTAATTTTAAAGTATTCAGTAATGTTTTCATCAAAGCTTATTAAAAACATTACAAACAAAAAACAAAATGTTTTTAAGAATAACCCATTGCGTTAAAATGAAATAAAATTATTTATTTTTATAGGAGCTAACTTTACTTGTTCCAAAAACCTTGTAAGAGTCAATTTAATAAAAAAAAGATGCAACGATAAAAATAAGGATAAAGGCATATTCACACTGCTACATAAATTACTTAATATTAAATAAACATATTTGAAAAGTAATTCCATAGAATCGGTATCGTTTCTTCTTAATTACGTATTAGCACATTTTACGACATAAATAAATTTTTGTTTAAATTAAGGGATCGTCTCAGCGTGACCCTCCGAAAAATCACTGATTTTCGCGATTTTTTTGTTATGTTGAAATTAACTTATCGGTCCGGTTTTTTCAGTTATAAATAAATACATTCATGACGAATACAAAATAATTTTTATGTTTATTTTATTGGGTGACACGTAATAAAAAGGTCCTGCACGATGTCCACGATTGCAGCCGCAATTTTGATCTAAAACAAATATTTCAAAAATATTTTAATCTATATGAAAGTCGCTATCGCGCTTTGGAAGTTTTTTTATTTTTAATATGACAAGAAAGCGGCGGTTTCAACAAAAAGTATCGAAGTTGGCCCTTTTTTCACAGTTTTTCGCAGAAAAAATAGGAAGATAAAAAAATACCTTCCATAGCGAGATAGAGAATGGCGTTAAAGTGTTCTCTTCAAATTTGACTAGATATCTTCAAAACTCTTCCTTTGAGAGTGGAAACCGTTTTGAGAAACACCATTCTGAGAAAACAGCGTTTAAAGATTGAAGTTGGAGGATTCCCTATTTTGTTCTCTTTCCACAAGAAAATTCAAATTTCAAAATTTGAGAGAATGTTTATTTCAGTGTATACTATCCCATAATTTCAACATTTTATTTAACTTTATACATCCAATAAATAAACATAAGCAAATAATTTTTCATAATTTTAGCAGATATTTTATAATACTTTAACGCTTTTCAATAACTGGAATCGAATCTGATGATGAAACGTCATGATAGCAGATGTACGTGCATTTGTTACTAAAAATCGCAATAGAAATTGTTGATGTGGTCAGTGATGATCATGAACATTGTGAAATTATAAAAAAAGCAACGATTCAAAGTGATTTTCATAAAAAAAAAATTAATTCAAATTATTCGTCAATTAGTGGAAGCTGAAGTCGTGATATAAATCAAAGTCTAAATAATATCTTTCGACAACTATGGAGAACGTGCAGCCAAGAGCACTAAGAAACAAGGCTAAACGAATTTATGAGATGGAATTACACACAAAAGATGTATTTGCAATTACACAAGCTAATAATATTAGCTTAACTTGTTATACTAATTTACTAAATTTTTATTCGCATTAATTATTCCCACAAAAATACTACAACGAAATCATATCATGAATACTTAACGTAAAAATACTCTTTATTTCTGCTATACATATTGTATGCAATTTTAACCTATATATTTTGACGTTCACATACATATGTACACATATAAATACATGTATAAAATATCTACACTATGCTGCTTTTTCTTCGTCAGCATTTTCATGCATTTTGTTTGCTTTCACTTACAATCAATCACTTGATTTAACCACAGTTTCCTTTTTACATACGTAAATATTTTTATTATTTTTGTCATTGTTTTCTCAGGCGTTTGAAACTGTAATTTTGTAAAGACGTGCCAATAGCGTCGTTGACTGCAAGTCGTCAAGACATAAGCCCAGCGTATTAGGAACTTAATTTCCAGGTCACGTAAAGTGTCAATGTTCAGTTCTTTTCCAACATGCAACGCACATCTATTCAGATGTTTGTTTACGTTTTTATATGCATATACAAGACATACATACATATCTATGATTGTAAGCATGAGCGTATATATGTACATACGTTTAAACGTTTAAATCCTATGAATTCAAAAATATTTATATACCACACATATATATATATTTTTTTTTTTGCCTGACTTAATTGACTTCTTTTATCGACCAAATTTCACTAAAATATTACACTTATTGATCAATATCATCGGTAAATGTCACTCGAAATCATTATTTTGGGTCCCCGGAAATGATATTTCAAAAGAATTTATCTTGCTATGTGGGTAAACTGTCTTTAATTACCATGCCAAATATGAGCTGCTTAGTAGCCCTGACAGACAGGCAAAATTAATGCGTCTTAAGCAACGCTAATGCGCATTGAAATTTTATGGTGACAGACGGCAGACTTGTGCATTTAGACAGCTGATAGTGAAATTTGTTTATATATTAAAAAAAAAAGTGAAATAAAAATTACTAAGATAAATTATTAATAGAAATTTTGGTAGTTTTGGAAAATTATTATAAATTTAATAAAAAAAACTCGTTTATTATTAACTACGTCAAAAGATAATAGAGTGAAATGAAAAGCAATAATTGATTTTAATGAGGAAAAAGTGTGAAAAAAGTTAAGAATATTGGGAAAATGGATAGCAAACTGTGCGTTGTTTATTTTCTGCCATCTAGAAATATTCAAATTTGTTTTTGTTAATATGCAATATGTACTTGCACATAATTTAAATAGCAATATAAAACTGCTGATTCTGATGCTGTACACGCAAAGGAGGCAGCAGACTTCCAACGACATCTGTCAATAGCAAAAATCTGCCATTTTTGAGCAGTGTTGCCTACTCAAATTTGGCAAATTCAGCTAAATTAAGCTCGCTAATCATTATTAGCGCTGTCGTCTGTTAGGGCTATAAGTCGGTACATCTCAGTAGTGCGTTGCGATTTTTACTATGGATAGAAATATAAAAAAAAGATTTGTCTCAGATATTGTATTTCTGACCAGTGGTAAAAAGCCTTCAAGACGATGGAGAAATCGTTACTCTCTTAACTGATGATAATATTGAAAAAGTGTAGGATATGATGCTTGAAATCGACAGGCACGGGTTAAAGAGATGACAAGAGAGATCGACATATGTACTATATGTATGTCGCGAGTCCGCTCCTATCATTTTGGTGGATATTTTGGGTATGAAACGCGTTTTTCCTCGACTCGTCCCAATAGAGATAAAGTTTTTTCGAAAAGAGTACCATAAACAGGAGTTTTTGGATATGCTTGATCGTGCGAACTCAGATCCCACATTCATGGAGGGAATAATAACAGCCCATGAGGCATGAACTTATGAGTTTTACATGCAAACAAGTCAAGAATCATCGGAATCAAGAATCATCGTTTTCAGTCGAATGAAAAAATAAAACAAAATTTGCTGAAGGAGTTGAGTGTCATACCACAAATTACTTTCGGGGACTGAAAAAATGTTTGGCATTAGTGTATTACATTCGGTGGGGATTACTTTGAAGGCAGCAAAATATATATTATATTAATGAATAATTAAATATTTCACGTTTTATTTACAATTTTAATTTACTTTTTCGTCACGATATATGAATATATATATACGAAATTATATGTGTTACGATTTTGCAGTATTGATGTGATATGGCATCATCGTAATAACAATGCCCGTGGTATGGTCATTATAAAAGTATAAAATGTATTTTAGTATTCATCAGAGATTGAACAAATAAAAGTCGTTGGGTTTTTTTTTTGCTATTTTCCCAACGTAAAAAAACGCCTATCTTGTTCTTCTCTAATTGGCTTTTTGATGTACTGCCTTGATGGGTTCATCTTGTATGGAACAGTATGCTTTTGCTATCAGTTATAACCAAAATTCAAAGTTCTTTTCAATTCAATATAAGCCATCAGGAAGTTAGAAATTCTTATATAATACATTAGGTATATGGTAGCTACAAAAAGTATTAAACTTATTTTTGTCATTTTTGCCACAAAGATATATTAAAGGCTGAATTTAATTAATTTGTCATATTTTCAATATACATATTATGTATGTGTGCATACATCTGTAAGATTAAAATTGGAAAATTTGAGATCGCCACATTGACATATGTAACACTTTTAATTTTAATGTTAAAATGTTAATTTTGTTATATAAAATTATTAATTTTGCTCCGTAATGAATTAGGTTAGGTTAGGTTAAGCTGGTGGCCCAATAAGCTACGATGGAGTTCAGTTACTAGGTAATGAAGTAGATACCTACATTTTTGGCTTTAACTAGTTAAGTGTAAAAAGCGTATATTTCCACAGAAAATTTGGCATTTAACATTTCGTATTTACTAGGTAAAGTAGTTTGGGTCAACGCAAAAGAAACATAAATTGTAGATAACGGCAAATAATGCAATTCAGGTAATGTGATAATATAAAAATTGACAAGAGCTGTTTAAACGATATGCACAAATGTTCTTGCTGTCTTGAAAATTTGAGTTCGCGGGATTAAAATTTAATCTAAATAACCTACATAAAAGAGAGCGATGTTAGTTATAACACATATAAATCAGGAGCTATTGGAACGTTCTCCGACCAATTCGGAATGGTCTCCGGAAAACCCTTTTTACACCAAATTTCTGTAATTGACTGAATTCGAAAACGTCAATTGCAATGCATATGAGCAATAAATAATGTTCTGTAACGCATACGGTATT